AGAAAGCGCTAACCATACAAATGCAAGCACAAGACTTACTACACTCACATGCCCAAATGATATCATGTTTGGTTGTAAAAGGTACAAAATACTCTAAAGGAAATGCACCTCACCCAAGGAACAACCAAACATTCAGACAAATGACAAGCACAAAAAAATATGTAATGTGCCATGCAAATGATTTGACTGCATCGGGTACATGACACCCTGGAGAAGATTACCCCTCACTAGAGAAATAGTAAAAAATGCACATACAAATGACAAACACATACAATGTGTAATGTACCATGAATGATGATCCTTAGAAATGCCAAATACTAGGAAGAAAGTACGAGAAATATATAATTTTCATATATGATGAATTTAAATATATGTGCATCAAGCAAACATATATTTCTATGCATCAAATTTAAGCATCAAGTCAAAAATACTTTTTCGTGTAGTATGAATATGGAAATGTGAGCATCAAGGCAAAATATGATTTTAATATATATTGAATATGGAAGTGCAACATCAAGCTTAAACAAAATTTTCCAAATGAATTTTAGAAAATATGAACACTACATGAAATGTTATTTGACAAGCATTTGATAACTGATCACAAGCGATGCACGAATACAAATGTGTATGTTTAAGCATTTGGCTATCAATCCATAAAAAATGTAAAAAAAATGTGCAAAATCATGATTTTAGACACTAGCATGTGACAAACATATATTATCATGTAACATTTTAAAATTGATGCACTATGTTTTGCACGCCACATGTACAGAATAATGCAAATGCACACATTCAAAAAATGAGCCTAATCTTGCTCAATGAAAAATTAATCTCTCCTAAGAGATTTCCCCTGGGATCTAGAGTTGGATATGAAGAGGTGTACCGACCTTCTATTACTCACAATAATAGAAAGGCCCACCTTCGATTGCTTGGCAAAATCATGAAAACTTTTCCATGAAGCAAGCTTTTCATAAAACGAAGAGTTTTCCATGAAAAATTTCTTCATAACCTAGGGATAAAAGTATCAATGAAGCTCCTTCATTCTCTAGGCTTAAAAGATTCCACCTTTTCTATCAAAAGATGGAGCCACCAAAACAACCGAAAGATTGCTACAATCCCAGCTATATAAGTCAAGGGCTGGGGTTTTTTTGGAGGAAACACTCATCGAACACATGGGTTTGCAATGAAAAGCTTCCTAACCTATGGGTGCCTCTCTAGTAACTACTTATCTTAGCCAACACTAACATCTGCCTAAGAGGCCTCTCTAGAAAGAAAATGGAGTTTTAGAGAGTTCTCACCAGCACGATGTTTGTAGTAGCTTTCTCTTTTTACAAGCTCCTTCCTCTCGTGCAAAATTGTTGGCCTTCCTTTCCTTCTCCCAAATAACTTTAAAGAGAGGAATCCCTTTCAAACTATAATGAAAGAAGAGATGGAGAAAAAGAGATGTAGTGGAGAAGTAGATGAAGATTAAAAAGAAAAAGCATGAAGAATGAGGGAGAAAACTCTCACTTCCCCTTAGGATGCTCTCTTTCTCCACAAATAGACTCTCTCTAGCTCTATCCCAAGCTCTTTCTCCACGCATAGTGGAGAAGTAGAAAAGCTCTCCAAGCACACTAAAAATTGGATCCTCTAATTATCCCCTCAACTCTTTAGCAATTGGTGCATTTCCTTCATAAGATTTCATAGATTAACGGGCTTTACTCCACATAGGATCCCCTAGGATTCAGGTCATACCCAATGGCAGCACATATGGCCAAGTAGAAGACCTGGTCAAAATTTTTGGTTGGGCTGACTAGTGTTTGGTGTGTGTGAGCTAGGCAACTGAGCAAGTGTGCCACCTTATGGGTGACCATAGGGTGCAGGTGCGCCAAACTACCAGCACTGAGAGAGTTCTCACCAGCACGATGTTTGTAGTAGCTTTCTCTTTTTACAAGCTCCTTCCTCTCGTGCAAAATTGTTGGCCTTCCTTTACTTCTACCAAATAACTTTAAAGAGAGGAATCCCTTTCAAACTATAATGAAAGAAGAGATGGAGAAAAAGAGATGTAGTGGAGAAGTAGATGAAGATTAAAAAGAAAAAGCATGAAGAATGAGGGAGAAAACTCTCACTTCCCCTTAGGATGCTCTCTTTCTCCACAAATAGACTCTCTCTAGCTCTATCCCAAGCTCTTTCTCCACGCATGGTGGAGAAGTAGAAAAGCTCTCCAAGCACACTAAAAATTGGATCCTCTAATTATCCCCTCAGCTCTTTAGCAATTGGTGCATTTCCTTCATAAGATTTCATAGATTAACGGGCTTTACTCCACATAGGATCAATCCCATTGGCTACTAGGGAGGTGGGCTGACATGAAGGAATCCCATTGGACCACTAGGATTCAGGTCATACCCAATGGCAGCACATATGGCCAAGTAGAAGACCTGGTCAAAATTTTTGGTTGGGCTGACTAGTGTTTGGTGTGGGTGAGCTAGGTAACTGAGCATATGTGCCACCTTATGGGTGACCATAGGGCGCAGGTGCGCCCAACTACCAGCACGATTGCGCCTGACAAATGCCCGCCTTAAAAGATACACGCTATGTTTAAGGCACGGGTGCGACCAAAACCCGGCACAGGCTTTCTATGCACTCAGTTTGCCTGACCAAAATGGCCTCATTGGGCAAGTGGGCACCCAATGCTTGGCACGGGTGCACTGCCTTGGGGCGTGGTTGCATCCAGTCTTGAGCAAGAAACAAGGAAGAGCTGCTCAGTTGCCATATTGAAAAGCATGCACTTGCATTTGTTATCACCACATATTTAGGCTTGCCTATAAGGATCATGGAAAACCTTAAAAGTTCGTGCGGATAGTCACTTGGCATTTTGCTATATTTCCACCATCACTGGACGACATAACTTTAAGGGATTATAATCAATTTCATCATTTCGAAGATGGTACATGTTCCCGTAGAGATTTCTGGATGTGAGTATAGCTTTTAACGTTCGGCATAGTTGGTTCCGCAAGATTAGTTATCTAATAGATGCTTCTGAAGAGGGCAGGATAAAATTTTGGTCGCATGTTTAAAGTTATCCTAAAATAACTGAAAACATATCTCAATAAATGACAATGATTCAAGATTTGAATACTTGGTAATTACATCAGTTGACTGGCACTCGATGAGTCATTTTCAATCTAAAAGCAAAACTCTGATCATATCAGATAGGCATTTGGAGAAAAAAAATTCAGAGGATATCTAAACCAGAATATAGTTAGGATATATTTTGAAAATTATAGATTTATTTTGAGATATAAAAGTAATTCATTATTTTTATATAGCATTCAACTCAAAATAACCAAGAATTTTCACATTCATCATGATAAAATTTTGATCAAATATCTGACCCAAGTTTTATTGTCGCATACTTTATCTAGAAGCACCAAGAAGCAAACACTCGAATAATAGGTGTAAAATATTTGGGAAATGGAGAATGATACAATCAAATCATTTATAATGAACAAAGACAAAAGCTGCTGCAACAAAAAGACAAAAAACTTAAACAGGCAGTGGTTGAACAAAATTGAAATCCTGACAGTTGGTTGATAAATGAGGATTCGAGTTTAAAAAGCTACTTTGAAGAACAATAGTAGAATAGGGGAGGGGTGGGGGAAAAAAAAAAAAAAAAAAAAAAATGAAGAATTCTTGCCATCCTTGTATTGCAATCATAAACACCAAAAACATGGAAGACAGCCCTTACTGAATCACACACTCACACCTTCTGGCATATTTGTGCTCCAAAACGTCATCGGAAAGGCCATCATCACTGCAAAATGAGACAAATTTGCATTAGAATTTACCGACACAGCGAACATTAAATACCACCATGAGGAATAGAAGTGGATTGCATTCATTCATTCTAAATCTTCTCAGATGTAGCAGTTATTGGTCTCTAAAGGACAGTGTATTCCAGCTTATGATTTCAAACTATAATGCTAATAGAAAAAGGAATGATAGCAGGCATAGTTATCTTAGGATATGTGATGGGCATATAGAGTCGGTATTCAAACTTAAAGCAAGAAAAAAGAAATAAAAGCATAATAGACAACATAATGCATTACCTTATTTGCACATCAATCAATATTTTAGGGAAAACTCATGATCCATGCAAATCAACTAAAACACCGATTTTATTTTATTTTCTTTTGCTCAAATGTAATAACCTTAATTTCTACAAAAGAAATAGGCCACCAAAATTTAGTTTACAAGACAAAAAAAGGTAATAAAAGGAGAATCAAAGATTTGAAATACAGACAGTTTTTGAACGTGAGATGGTTAGGACAATGAAGGCTAGAATCTACTTTATTAGTTGTATTTGAGTTTTAATTATGGAACATAATCATGATAATTTTGCATGGTATTTAGAGGTTAGGTTCACCAAGTTTTACAACAGACGATGATATGCAGAAATGGCATACCTGAGTTCAAATTCTCTTATCTCAGTAAGTTCTTTACCACATGTATCTGACCATTGAACTTTTCTCCTTCCAGTAAAACAGGATATGTTGCTCTGAATCTCTTCCATGGAGTTGCGTGCAACATCGTTGTCACTAAGCAAAACACAACAATTTGTAGACGGCTTTTTAAGGCTGCTCTTGAGCCATACCTTCCTTTCATTCTGCTCGGATGAGACGCTGATTGTTATGGCGGCTTTATTTGAAGGATTTTCTGCTGAAGATTCAGAATGGTGAAACGGATCCAACTTAGGATGCAATGATCCATCATTACAGGAAGATCCACACCCAAAACATGTGAAGGAAGAGCAACCATGTGGAACTTCATTTTTCAATGAGCTCAACTTTAGATCATCACCTACATCTTGATGAACCAATTGATATTGATTCCAAGGTGAAACTTTCACGTTTCTTTCTTCATTTTTATGTCCAAGAAGCAGAAGGGAAAGACCACTACTGTATCCTGATGCTGAAGAGGAAAAGAAACCTCCTCCTTCCACTGCAAACAACATTACAGTAGCTCATAAAAATCTGTTCTAACCTAATCTGCATAAGCACACTGAGTCCTTTGAAGCCTTCAACCCAAGAAAGAAGACATTTAGACTTCCATTTGCTACAATAAGCTGGAAACAACAATACTATATCAATTAACTCTTGCTGGCATAAAAAATTTCATAAAATCCATGGCATTGTAGAAGGTTGTGAAGGGAGAGTTTCTTTCACATATAAGTTGACTTTTAGGGGCAATTTGGCAACTTACATAATTTAACTCAAGTAGGTTTTAGTAAACCTTGTATACCCTGATTTAGTAAAACTTAAAGTAACTAAATCTCAAAAACTATTTGGCGTGACAGTTGTTAAGTCAGGTTAAATCCTATGAAAAATTTTAGCAACTTTTTGTAAGATTTCAGTCTGTTAACTCAAGTAGCATTCAAATAATAATTTCTGATGAAATGGTTTGAAAGACATTGCACGAGTATAATAAGTAATATTAAACAATGCATCCATCAACTCAAACGCACCATCCACATTGCGTAAATATTGATACATCAATAAACACCTCACATATCATAGAGGGCAAATAAGCACAAGTATTATCCTATATCCTGAAGATGTTAAGATGATTAATCCGAGCGAAACCGTCATTTCATATAATTTTGTTGGTTAAAATAACATTTTAATGTTAAATTAATGATGATGCAATCATAAAGGTTAATTTAGTTTGATTTAATTCACATATTTTTTTTATTAAAGTAATAATCAAATAGTAATTAAGTTAAGGTAATTAAATGACATTTTCTATAATAAAAATAATATTAATTTCACTAAGTTAAATTTTATTTTGCCTATATCAATTTATTAAACCAATAAAATTTAACATATATTTTTATTTTTATTAATTAATTGTGAAATAGTGATTTATCATTATAATATACTAATTAATTAATAAAAATTTAATAAATCCCTAAACCCATCACCACCTCCCTCTTGCCCAAACCTCCCCTACCATTTCGCCGAAACCTCACCTAATTTCACCTTCCCCTCGTGTCAGAGCTAGCTACAAAGGCAACAATAGGATCGTTGTGTGCAAATACCACCAAAAGCCCCATATTTTACCTCCTTCAACTCTGCTCCTACCTGAAACTGTATGTGTCGTGTTTCTTCCCCTCCCTCCAGCTTCCTTCTCGCCTCCTTGCTCTTCACACATGTTCCCAAATTTACTAAATCAACCGAACAACAAGATTTAGTAAATCTGAGATTTAAAGCTGAAATTCATGAAATTCGGATTTATCAAATCTGCTGTTTTATACGTCAAAATTGACCGTCTGGCAAGATTTAGCCTAAATCTAGGTTAATTCTGGGTCTAAATCCGTTGCCATAGAGCCCCTAAAACTCAAAGTTTTAGTAAATCAAGGGATTACGCATAAATGGAGGTAAAATGTGATTTAAGATTCCGTTGGATTTAACATGTCCAATGCCTTCGTTTGGAAAGATTTATGTTAAATCCGGCATAAATCCTAGTCAAACCCACCTACAAAAGAGCCCCTTATGTTTATTCTATAGAGCATCGAAATGACTATTCCTTGTAAATTTGCTCTGATGCTGCATCAACCTATTTGAAATTCGCAAGATTTGCTAGATTAAGGTAACAAACCAGTAATGTGATGGTGCTATAGTAAATAAATAAATTCATATGTTAATGACAGCAAATCAGCAAAAGCTTAAAGATTATAGTGTGGAACCAAATCTAGTGAAATCATGTAAACAGACATGGACGAAAACAGTCAAACAGACCAAACGCAGTAATTAAAAAAACAAATCATCGCATCTAAACACAAAAACAACCAGGCGATTTCACTATTTACCCAGTAGAACGAAAACAAAACAGTCAGTTTTTAAAAATGAATCCAAAATAAAAGCCAAGGAAAGATTCTGGGTAAGCTCCCGTTCCTATAATCGCCAGTTAGGGTTTCTCCCACTACTTTCCGTCTTATTAGCGCGAGGATCTAAGAAAGCAGTCGAAAAATGAGAGAGAAGTACCGAGAGAAAATCCAAACTCCAATTATTTCGAGAACGCGAGAAGGGTCTCAAGTGGAACGAAGGCTTGAACTCCAAACAGATCTCGGAGTTCGGAGAGCCCAGGAATGGCGGGCAAGGAGGCGGCCAGGTCGCTAGGAATCAGATTCACAGCTGATCTTTAACTTCTTTGTTTTCCGTGTTCGTCTGGTCCGTGTTCAGTGACGTAAGAACGCCATGATTCAGGAGAGGCTTCGGCGGAATCAGGTCTGTACAATTTTACGGTGTTGAGAGTGATGGGATTCTGGATCGACTAAATGGTCAACTGATAATTCACCCGATAAACCACGATGGAGACTTGGTTTTATCGTCGTTTCGGAAGCGACTTGTCCTTTGTGCTTTATGATTATAAAAATAATATATATATATATATATATATTAGGAAAAAGGAATATTTAATTAATGCAATGAAATGTATAAAAAAAGACAATATATTATTGAAAAGAAAATAAATACAATAAATATTATACCTAGTAATTTAAAACATTAACACATAAAATAATAAACAACAAGAGTACCGCAAAAATGGTTTGCATGAATCACGAGATAATCTAACAGTCCAATATCGAAAGCTAAGTCTTCATAAAGCTGACCAACTGAGGAACCTTCAGTCGATCGAAAGCTTGTCTACCAACCAAAGGGCTGCCCAGACCGACCATAATAGACGGTCTCCCCAATGTCCAAAAAAAGATCTAGCAGACCCAGGCCGACTAGAGGACTTGCCGACTAGAAGGTCTAGATACATTAAAAGAAGTAAAAAATTAGTTACAAATACGAAAAGACATAATAAAAGACAATAATATCTTGTAAATCCCTATTAAAGTATGGGTAGATATGTAATTTTTCACCTCATGACCCCTAGCTTCTATAAATATGGGTCCAATAAATGTAAAAGGGGGATTTTTGGCTCTTCTCTCTAGACTCATACTTTATAAGAAGATATCACTCTTCACTTTTGTAACTCTTCAGCTACAATATATAAAATGGGTCACAGAGTTCGAAAATACACTGGTTCGCCCCTACAGGATAAATCTATGCGTGTTCTTTTACTTTTTACTCTTTCTATTTCTCCCTCTAGGTTGTTATCGTTTCGATCCTGGGCATGTCTGACAGGTGATCCGACTTTTTGTTATGATAGATTGTGTAAAATTTAATTAAATATAATAAATTAATATTCAGATTCTACGCAAGTATACGTATCGTTATCAAGTAATAATGAACTTTGTTATTTTGACCCCCAATTATTGAACTAAGGTAAAATGACACTTTTGTAATGTCGTACCGCTCACCTACCACATCTCACTTACCGCTCATCTACCTCCCACCTACCACTCTTTTGCTTCTATAAATAGAGAGGGTGTGAGGCTTAGGAGTGCAAGGGAAAAGATCTTAAACTACCACAAAGGATGAGAGAATAGCTAGAGAGCTAGAGAGGAGGAGAACATCTTGAGGCCTTGTATCAAGGTGTCGCTTGAGAGGGAGGCCATAAAAGGAAGATGAGGGCTCATTTCTATGTATAAGCTATGTATTCTCCATTTCTTTTGCCTTAGTGAACTATTTGATTGATTCCCTCCCGTGGACGTAGATCCAGTTGGATCGAACCATGTAAACGACCTATGTTTGCTTGTGTTCTTTGCGTTTTATTTCTATGCCAGGAAGTACATATCTCACAACAATTGGCACTGTCTATGGGAAGACCCACTCTTTAGTCATACTTCTTGGCTAGAGGTGTTCGTGTAAAGGTGTTCGCGGCCAGCAATGAAGAAGAGGAAGGCGGGTAGTTCGGTTCACGAAGGAGGAGGATTTCTGCAACAGCTGTTCACGAAGGAGGAGGATTTCCGCAACAGCTAGCACACGCCATGACATAAGCACTCCGTGAGAGCTCTCGGAATTCAGTAGGTGCTCAGCGGAGCGGATTTCAGACGTTAGTGGGGATCAAGCCATAATAATGGGTTTCGCCAAATTCGACATCGAGAAATTCAACGGGAGTAATGATTTCGGTCTATGGAGAGTAAAGATGGAGCTCTATTGGTTCAGCA